CAACAGCAAGCTCACACGTGTCAATACAGCTTGCAGCCTTCAGCTGCCTCCCTGGGTTTTACTGGACGCTCCCTGGGTCTTCTCGGATACGATGGGGCCTTGGAACAAACAAGGTCCCACCCGTCGCTGGCCCTCGTGCCTGCCGCACAGCGAGGACGGCCCGCCAGTCCGGCTGGGCTCTCGTGTCCTCCTTGCTCGGTACTGTCCCTGGGTGCGCTGGGCCTTCTTCAACGGTGGTTGGCGCTACCGGTGCGAGAGACAACTGGCAGAGTGGCTGGAGCTCTGGCTGGCACGACGACCAGTGGCAGGCAGGCGGCACGCGCGGTGGCGGCAGGCCAGACGATCGTGGCGAGAAGGGGCTACGGTGGGGCGACTGAGCCCTCCCCCCATCCCCAAGAGTTTCAAGTGCAGCGTCCGATTTCCACACTCTGTGCAGCCTTCAGCTGCCTCCCTGGGTTACGTTTCATATACTCGTGTGGCGGCCTTCTAAACACTATACTCGTGTGGCGGCCTTCCGCCGCCCTCCCTGGCACGTGCGCTTCCTGCCTTTGGACCCAAGTGTGTGTACCAGCAAAACCGTCTGCATGGCAACACTAGTACGTGCTGCGTGTAGTCATAGTGGCCCCAGGCCCCGCTGTAGCTGGTTTCACCTTGCCAGGCTCGCCCCGGCCCCGCGGTTCTGTGACCGACGCAAAGATGGCCTCGCCTCGTCACCCTCAGAACCATGCTCTCGCTCCCTGGGTTTCCCCAAGGTACTACGGCCTTCAGCCGCGCTTCTCCGCCTTCCCTGGGAGCGACCCTGGGCTTGGGCTTATCGTCAGTGGGTCTCAACGTTGCTCAGGCGGTCTCCGTGCATTGTGGTACGCCCCGCTTCGTTGGCTGGAGGGGCCACCCGGAGGTCGCTGCGGCCGTGCTCGGGCTCTGGGTCGCAGGTGTGCCCCCGTGCATGACTTGCCACAGTTTGGCAGCGGTTGGCCCAGGCCGTGCCCACACCTGTGGCTAGTGGTGCACCGCTCGCCGCAAGGATCCGCGCGCACTGACGTCGCCCCATCGTCGCTCCCACGCTCAACCTTGTTGAGCGGTCACTTCCTGGGCTTCTTCGTGACTACGGACGGTTGCTTGTGCTGCAGCGGGCATGCGTCAGCGCAACTTTCTCAGAGCGCTACTTCCACTCTTTCTGGTCCGCCAGGGTATCCTGGAGAGCTGCTCTTTGTTATGTCACTTAGTTGCTTCCTGGTGCACGCCCTGTCATCTTCGGTTGGCCCTCGCGTCTCGCGCCGAGGTCGGGAACAGGTGTGCCTTCCGCACTGCGTCACATCATGTCGTTGATCTTTCGCGTGCGAACGCATCCTTCCGCAGTTGTTTTGAGGGTCGACGTGCATCGGTTGGTCACTGACTTCTGTCGTGCCTTTACAGCCGCGTTGGTGCGTACTCTGAAGCTGCGACGGTTCGCTGGCGCCGTCAGAGTCCCTTCTTCCTGCAGGATGCCTGCGTCAGCTCTCTCGCCTACGGTCTCGCTCATACCCGGCAGACACCCTGGGCTCTCTGACACTCTTCTTGCACGGAGTCAAGATCCCCACTGCCCTGTGGTCGTCGGACCGGACACGACCCTTGACTGGGGGTGTGCATCGCGCCATTTTGGCAGCGTAATTCCTGCTCCCTGGGTGCCAGTCTCCCCTCAGACTCCCTGGGCTGCAGCTTGCACCGCCGCCTGATCCGCGGCCCGCGCGCGCGCCCGGCTAATTTGTTACGGCCGCAGCCCGACCGTGACCTGCCGCCGCCGGCGCTTCCGCCTGCGGCTGTAAAAAAATATGCGTGGCGTTGCGTAGCGCTGCGTGTTCAAGCGTCGTGCTGTGTATTCACGCTGTGCGTATGCGCGGGTGTTGCGTGCGGGTAGCGTAGCGCTGTGTATTTATGTTGTGTATTCACGCTGTGTATTTACGCTATGTGTTCACGCTGTGTATTTACACTGTGTATTTATGCTGTGTATTTACGCTGTGTATTTACACTCTGTATTTACGCTGTGTATGCGCGTGGTGTCGCGTATTTACGTTGAGCGGGCGCGTGGTGTTGCGTAGTGCTGCGTATTTAAGCGTTGTGCTGTGTATTCACGCTGTGTGTATGCGAGGGTATTGTGTGTGTGTGGGTTGCGTAGCGCTGTGTATTTACGTTGTGTATTTACGCTGTAGTTACGTAGCGTGGTGTCGTGCATTTACGTAGCGTGTATGCGTGGCGTTGTGAATTTGCGTTGCGTGTATGCGTGGCATTGTGAATTTACGTTGCGTGTATGCGTGGCGTTGCGTATTTACGTCGTGTTTGCGCGTGGTGTTGTGTGTTTACGTTGTGTAGATGCGTGGTGTTGTGTATTTCTGGTGTGTATATGCGCGGTGTTGTGTGTACGTTGAGTATATGCGTGGTGTTGCGTATTTGCGTTGCGTATATGCTTGGTGTTGTGTATTTACGTTGCGTGTATGCGTGGCGTTGCATGTTTACGTCGTGTTTATGCGTGGTGTTGTGTGTTTACGTTGTGTAGATGCGTGGTGTTGTGTATTTACGGTGTGTATATGCGCGGTGTTGTGTATTGCCGTTGTGTATATGCGTGGTGTTGTCCATGTGCGTTGCGTATGCGTGATGTCGTGTAGTTACGTTGCGTGTATGCGTGGCATTGCATATTTACGTCGTGCTCACGCGTGGTGTTTTGTATGTGCGTTGCGTATATGCGTGGTGCTGCGTGTTTACGTTGTGTATATGCGTGGTTTTGAGATGTACGTTGTGTATATGCGCGGTGTTGTGAACAAACGCTGTGTATATACGTGGTGTCGTGTATTTACGTTGTGTATATGCGTGGTGTTGTGTATTTACGTTGCGTATATGCGTGGCGTCGCATATTTACGTCGTGTTTGCGCGTGGTGTTGTGTGTTTACGTTGTGTATATGCGTGGCGTCGCATATTTACGTCGTGTTCGCGCGTGGTGTTGTGTGTTTACGTGGTGTATGCGTGGTGTTGTGTATGTACGTTGTGTATATGCGTGGTGTTGTGTATTTACGTTGTGTATATGCGTGGTGTCGTGTAGTTACGTTGCGTGTATGCGTGGCATTGTGGATTTACGTTGCGTGTATGCGTGGCGTTGCATGTTTACGTCGTGTTTATGCGTGGTGCTGTGTGTTTACGTTGCGTATACGCGTGGTGTTGTGTGTTTACGTTGTGTATATGCGTGGTGTTGTGTATTTACGTTGTGTATATGCGCGGTGTTGTGTAGTTGCGTTGTGTGTATGCGTGGTGTCGTGGATTTGCGTTGCGCATATGCGTGGTGGTGTGTATGTACGTTGCGTGTATGCGTGGTGTTGTGTGTTTACGTTGTGTATATGCGTGGTGGTGTGTATGTACGTTGTGTATATGCGTGGTGTTGCGATTTACATTGTGTATATGCGCGGTGGTGTGTATTTACGCTGTGTATATGCGTGGTGTCGTGTATTTGCGTTGCGTAAATGCGCGGTGTTGTGTATGTGCGTTGCGTATATGTGTGGTGTTGCGTTTTTGCGTTGCGTATACGCGTGGTGTTGTGTATTTGCGTTGCGTATATGCGTGGTGTTGTGTATGTGCGTTGCGTTTGTGTTGCGTATTTTCGGGGTGTCGTGTATTCTTGGTGTCGTGTATGTTGCGTTGCGTGTATGTTGCGTATATGCGTGGTGTCATGTATTTGCGTTGCGTGTACGTTGCGTACATGCGTGGTGTCGTGTATTTGCGTTGCGTGTATGTTGCGTATATGCGTGGTGTCGTGTATTTGCGTTGCGTGTAGGTTGCGTGTTGTGTATTTACGTTGTGTATATGCGTGGTGTTGTGTATTTACGTTGTGTATACGCGTGGCGTTGCATATTTACGCCGTGTTTACGCGTGGTGGCGTGCATTTGCGTTGCGTATATGCGTGGTGTCGTGTACTTGCGTTGCGTATACGCGTGGTCTCGTGTATCTGCGTTGCGTATACGCGTGGTGTTGTGTATTCACGGTGTATACTAACGCTGTGTATTACGTATACTCACGTTGTGTATTTACAATGTGTATTAACGCTGTGTTTGATGCATGGTTAAAAGTTTATTTTGATTGGTTTGCGAAGACCATCTGCCCTCTCACATCCGGGAGGGGGTCGAGTCGGCGATCGCGCGCGAGCGCGCCACCGCCACAGGGGGGCAGAGATGCGCGCGTCCTCCTGCCCCTCACTGTGATCCCGCGATGGCAGCCCTACCGGCAGCATGCCGAGCACCGGGCCTTCTCCCTTCACGGCGACAGGGCTGGTCACCATCGCGCCGCGGAGGCCCCGCCGGGACTGGACGTCCGGATCGAGCTGGTCTTGCGAGGCCTCAATGGCCTCTGGTCGGGCCATGGTGGTGCGTCGACAGCGACTCCGAGTGCCGTCTGTTTTCTGCCGCGGGCTGAGCAGGTGGTGGCCTTGTGGCATCTCGAGCGCAAGGTGGAGTCTTCTTGTTCATCCCAGGTCTGCAAGTATCGACGATACCAGCTCGGGGCCTTTTTCGATCAAGAGGACGTGAGCTACGGAGGAAGCCGAACCTCCCGCGCTCACACCCTGACATGGGAGCAGGTGAAGCCGCAGCTTTCCTTCGAAGGGCCGCTGCTGGAGCATCGACATCCTGGAGCTAAGCGACCCGCGCAGGCAGCGTTACCCACAGAACCCCTTGGAGTGCCTGTGCGACCTGGAGAGCACTGCTTGCCGGCCCGAGGCCAGGGCGAGTCCAGGCCGAGGCCAAAGGAGGCCGTCCTCACAGGGCGAGGGCTGCTGGAGCGCGGCCTGGTGATACCCCTCCGACGGGGGCAGCTCCTGCACATCGGCGGCGCTCCTCTGCTGAGTGGGCTTTTCGGGCTCACCAGAGACGCGAGCCTCCCCGACGGGAGGCCCGTGGCGCCTGATTATGAATTCGACGGCGTCTAGCAGCATCATGCGGGACTTCCCTGCGGGCATCGCCGCACTTCCATACTACGCCCAGTGGCGGGCCGTAGTTCTGGACGATGGGCAGCAGCTCGAGTTGTCCTTCGACGACCTCAGGGGCGCATTCTACCTACTGCGATTACCGAAGGCTTGGGGGCCGCTATTCGCTTTCAACATGGAGTTCGAGGCTTCCCAGCTGGGTCTTGCTGGCTGGGGCGACGATGGTATATTCCAGGGGGCCGTCACGATGCCTACGGGCTGGAAGAATGCTATTGGCATAGTGCAGTACGTGCACCGCCGGCTTCAAGTCGCCAGAGGGGCTTATCCCCAGGGGCTCCCTCGAAGCCGCGAGGTCCGCAAGGACAGGTGCTCCCGGCCGCTGGTTGCCAGGCCGGACTTGGCGGCCCCCGCCCAGTCGGGCCAGGCCGGCCGTTTGGACCAGTTCCGGCAGCCTTATTGCGACGACGCCGACTATGCCCGCATTGTCGGCGCCCGCCGCTGTTTCCAGGAGTCGATCGAGACCGAGATGGGCCCGGCGGATGCCGCCAGGGCGCGATACGCCGCGCGGGAGGTGCCGCCGCCCTCGACGAGTGGCACGCGGGTCCAGAGTGTCTGCCGCCTCGGCGCTCTCGTCGACGGCGCGGACGGACGCCTCTGCCTGCCGGCGCAGAGGCTGGGCTTGCTTGCTGGGCCTGCTTTCCACCACCACCACCACAAGTTGGAGGGGGAGGGGACCCTCCTCCTCCTCCTCCTCCTCCTCCTCCTCCTCCTCCTCCTCCAACTTATGGTGGTGGCGGTGGAAAACGGGCCTACCCTTGCTTGCCCGGCTGCCCGCGTCGCTTCTGGGAGCGGCGCGGCGCTGCCCGAGAGCAGCGCTCGAGAACCTGCTCCTGGCCGCCGGGTCCACGCGCGCAGCTGCAGGGCGGGAGCTGTCGCGAGCGTGCTCGTAGCCAAACGTTGGCGGGCGCTCCTGGGCCGGGGCGCCCCGCCGCCGGGAGCGCCGGCGTGAGCCTGCGAGGTCGGAGGTGCTCTTGAAGTTTGTTCTTGAACAAATCCATATGTTTACCGAGCCGTTTTGCTGCAGTCCCAGACGTTTCTACCGAGCACTGGATCACGCTGCGCTCGCTGGTAGAAGTTTCAGGGCCGTAGCTGCCATGTTTCCATCGACTTACTTCCCGCAGCTGGCCTCCAGAAAATTCAATTTCAGAGACTCGGACTGGCTTTGCTGCCGCGCTTCGCGCACGACTTGCGCGCCACTGCCTCCCCGCTGCTCACGGCGAGTGATGCGTCCGAGAGAGGGGGCGGCGCGGTCTGCGCCACGGGGCTCGCGAGCGAACGCGGGGAGGCCACGCTCCGCGAGCTTGGTGCCTCCCGGGGGGGCAGCCAGGGACAGGCTGGTCCTGGTGGAGGTGGTCTCGTGCGGAGCGGGCCGCCAGGCCCGCCAGAACCTTGGCTTGGAGGTCGCGCTGCACGGCGCGGCTGCGGGGACGCGTGAAGCTCGGCAAGCGCTGCAAGCCGCGTGGCCTGACTGTCACCATCCGCCTGCTGACCAGGGGGCGCTTGCCACGGAGCTGGGGGCCTTCCTCGCTCGCGCGCCGCACGCCACGGACGTCTTGGTAATTGGCCGTCTGCCAGGTAGCCGCCCAGACGCCGCGAGCCGAGGGGCCGAACTTGTGACGATGCTGCTCGGCGCGCTCGAGAAGGTCAGCGGCGACTTGCGCGTGTGGCAATTGTTGGAGACGGCGCCTACCTGCGCTGGGGCCGCCGCGTTTGTCCGGGATGCACGGCCTCCTTGCAACGTCGTCCCTTAGCGGTTGTGCAGCTCCGGCGTGACAGAGGTGAAGCGCGACGCGCTTTACTGGCTAAACAGGCCATTGCAGCAGGGCCCCGAGCTCACTTGGATCCACGAGGGCTTTCAGCTGAAGGGGCACTTAAGATCTGGGGAACCTTCAGGCCCAGGAAGCCGAGCGAGGGTGGCTTCGAGTGAAGGGGGCCGACCAGCCCCCCACAGTGAAGTGCTCGCCAGCGGCCTCGGCCTCTCGCCAGGGTACCTCCAGCGCGCCGTGCGCAAGAAGGAGAGCTTGTCGGAGGTTGCGGCCGAGGAGCTGAAGGTGGGCGTGGCGCAGGCCGTGCTGATCGTGCCAGTGGCTGCGTTGCGTTCATCATCGGGCAGTGGGCTTGGTGGCGCAAGTTCCTTGTCTCTCCCCCCACCGTCGCAACTGCGTGGGGGAGACTCTCTGAGGAGGGCATGCTGTTTGCCGAGGCTGTCATTGGCCGCCCCCTGGAAACGCTGGCTCTGCCAGAGCTGCACCACGTGTCTCTGAGTGGCATGGCTCGAGGTGCCATTTTCAAAGGGTCTGATGTTCACCTCGCCACCTCAACCTTGATTAATCCTTGCAGCTGGCCCCGCCGAGGGGTCGAGGCCAGTCGCTGGCGTTGGTGGACCAGCCTGTCATGGGCTCAGAGCGGCGAGCACATCAACGTGTTGGAGCTGAGGGCGGTCTTGGCGGCCTGCCGGTGGAGGCTGCGGAGAGAGAGCAATTATCAGCGCCCAGCGCCGTAGCCTTCACCTTTGTGACAGCCGGGTCACCATCGGGGTGCTGTGCAGGGGGGCGCAGCTCGACCCGATCAATTCAGTAAGTTCTTGGCCGTATTGTGCCGTTGCTCGTCGCCTCCGGCTCTTACCCAATGCACGCGTTGGAGCGGCCGGCAGACAACCCTGCCGACAAGCCATCGCGATGGGCAAGAAACATGTAGAAGGACGCGATCTGGAAGAACGACGAGTACAACGACGAGAGGCCGGCACCTGGCGTGAACTTCTAATTCAGCCGCGGACGCGTGCGAGGCACGGCAAAGCCGTGAACACTTCTTTCCCTTGGCTCCGGTCGGAGCGCAGAGAGCTGCCTGGACACCGCCGAGGGCGTGGACCGAGCAGCCGCCGACCACTTGGAACTCTGCTGGGAAGAGGGGCTGTCGCGAGGGTCCGCGGCACCTTGCGTGAACTTCTAATTCAGCCGCGCACGCGTGCGAGGTACGGCAAAGCCGTGAACAATTCTTTCCCTTGGCTCCGGTCGGAGCGCAGAGAGCTACCTGACACCGCCGAGGGCGTGGACCGAGCAGCCGCCGACTGCTTGGAACTCTGCTGGGAGGAGGGGCTGCCGCGAGGGTCCGGGGCCGATGCCCTGAGCGGTCTGCAGCTTTTTGTGCCCACGCTCCGCAAGGAGCTCCAGGAGAGCTGGCGTCTCCTCCGTGCCGGGGACGAGCACGAGGTCCCCGCCCGAGCTCCGCCCATGCTGGCCAGCCAGGCGTTAGCCATGGAAGGATCTGCTCTTCAATGGGGGCGTCGGGACGTCGCGACAGAGCTGCTGGTAGCCTTCTCGGGTTTCCTCTGGCCAGGGGAGCTCGCTTTCAATGCCGGCGCTTGCGTGCTCGACGATGTCGGCAAGATGGCGGTCGTCAATTTGGGCCTTACCTATGGAGGTAGAAGAGCCGGGGCGCCCGAGGAGATCGTCATCGATGACCCGTTCGCCTACACTCTCCTCCGAGCCCATTTGCATGGCCAGCCTCCGGGCACGCTCTTGCTGCCTAAAGGTCTTGTTGATGTTCGTGCAATGTTTCGCAAACTTGTCCTCCATATCCGAGGGCACCCAAGCAAGCTCAAACCATACTCTCTTCGGCGAGGTGGGGCAACTTACCACTACCGGACAATCGGTAATATGGGGCTCACCACCGAGCGAGGCCGATGAAGGTCCAGGAGCACGGCAAAGATTTACATTACCGAGGGGATGACTGTGATAGACAAACACCCGCATCAGTGTCCAGGGTGGCAAAGTACTCGACGCTGGACAAGACATCCTGAATTGTCACCTTCAGCATGTATTTCGCCAGGGAGCCGCAACATAATCATTTGGACATGCTGGGAGCGGAGCGAGAATTATTGGCTATGGGCCAGTGTGGGAGACTTTGGAGCCGTGGCGCGGCACTCCACACTACCCCTCCTCGGTCCCAATGGCCGCCCCATCCGCGGGAGGGAGATCCTTCCCCCTCGGCACCCCTCGACAGGAGGAAGGCCCCCCTTCGAGCGAGGGAGACCCGAGGGAGACAGCCCCTCGAGGGAGGGAGGGAGGACGCTGCCCTGACCACCAGGCCTGGGCCAGTGGTGGTGGCAGCATGGAGCGTGGCAGCGCGTGGAGCTCGCTCAACACGACGGTGCGGCGCGCTCGCGCTTGAGCGTGAAAAAATGCAGTGCCACGATCCGTGCTATGTGGCGGCGAGCAGAAGGGGGTAGGGGGAGGGGGAAGGCTTCTTAGAAGGAGGCTGCTTCTTAGAATGCGCCGGCCTTGCATCTACAGAGGGTATGGGCGTAGAACATTTCTTTCACTGTCGTTCTCTTCTCGGCCCTCCCGCCGCTTCCCGGCCGAGCAGATCCCTCATTTTTCCATCGGAGCTGACCGGAGCCGTGGCGCTGCTCTCCATACTGCCCCTCCTCGGTCCGAGTGGCCGCCCCCTTCCACGGGAGGGAGGCTCTTCCCCTCGGCACCCCTGGCCCCGAACCCGACTCAACGCCCCCCCACCCCAGCCCGCAATCCCTTGCAAAAGCAATCCAAAATATACGGCCCGGCATAGTATCGATCATGTTCGGGCGCTCCGCAATCACTTTACATTGTATTTGCCAGGGACGGCGGGGGTGCCACCATATTGCCTGGTGTGCGCAGGCCCTGCATCCCTTTCAAAAACACGGCAAAGCCAGATGTTCGGCAAAAGATTGGACCATGCGCGTACGCCCCAATTTGCTTTGACAGGGAAGATGGGGGGCACCTTGGCATGCTCGGCGTACCTCGCGGGTCTCGCGCACCTGGCTGGCTTCTGCATTTGGTTCCCGATGGTTGTCGATGGCAGCCCCTGCCAGTGCTAAGACCTGCTCTCTTTGAAACCCCCTCTTCCCCTGCCCACTCTTCTTCTCTGCCGTTCCCTGCCCTGCCCTCCTTAGAAATGATCCTCCTCCTTCTCCTCCGCCTCCTCCTCCGCCGCCTCATCTTCTGCCCTTCCCTGCCCTTCCCAGCGCTCTCGTCTCTCCCTCAACCCACCCTCTGCCCTCTCCCTCGACCCACCACTGCCATCCCCTCCCCTCCCGTCGCCTAAGCACCTCTCCTCCCGTTCCCTCCCCTCCTACTCTCTCTTACCATCCCCTTCCTTCTTCCGCTCGGCTTGACGCGGCCCGCAGTGTCGGGACCGCGCGCCTGGCCGGGCCGCCCGGCGCGGGCACCTACCCGCAGGCGGGCCCCCTAGCGCCCGGCCTGCGTACCCTCCCCGCGGCCGAGGGTCTGGAGGGTGACGCCCGACGCGTTGCGGGAGGCGCCCGCCCTCCACTCCCCCAGGGAGGGGTCCACCTGCTCCTCCTCCTCACCCTCATCTCCACCCTCCCCTTCCCCATTCATCTCCCTGCCACATCTGCCCTTCGTCTGCGCCTTCCCTCCTTCCCCGATCCACCTCAGCTTGCCCGCCAGCACACCTCCACGCAGCCCCCTCTGGGCCCCAAACGACGGCTGGCCTTCACGATCTGGTTGAGGTCATGCACCTCGGTCGCTCCTCCTTCTCCTCCTCGTTCTCTTCCTCCTCATCTTCCTCTTC